TTACAATCATCAACCTATTTGAGGTTATAAAAATATCTGTCAAATGGAAAAGTATTTCCTTTTTATGTTTTCTTAAACACTGCTTCTGCTTGCCTCAACTCCTTGATTCCTTGGCGTCGTGGCTGGCTAAGTATTATTTGCTAGTGTAGCCTTCTGTCTTTGCTTAAATTTAATTTCTTGCTCCTTTTCCGTTGTGGCTGAGTAAGCTTGGAGCCTGTACAATTATGAATGTGTACATCCGGTATTAGGTAACTGGCTGGGTGGTCGATTACCAAGAAAATCTGATCGGACTTGGAGTGGACGAGGCTCTGGCTCAAGTTTGTTCTGAGAGTGGTGCAATGGATCCTCTAATGAATGCTTATGTTGAACGGATGCAAGCCACAACAAGGGTATTCTGACAATTTATCATCTCTACTGCTTTCCTTCAATCCACTCACTCTTTTATGGTCAAATGATCAATTGATGGCCTTGTATTATGTAGAAATGGTATTTGAATATACTGGAAGCTGATAAGGTACAGCCACCAAAGAAAACGGATGATGGAAAACTGTACACGCCTGCTGCCGTGGATTTGTTTCGCATCCTTGGAGAGCAAGTACAGATTGTACGAGAAAATAGCACTGATGTTATGTTATACAGAATTGCTTTGGCCATTATTCAGGTACATTCAACTTGATTATTTTCGGACTCTTACACTGTTTCAACCCCTTCTAACTTTATCCAGCATAGCTATGTCAATTTCTCAGTTTCAACTTCTGTGTCTTGGTCTTACCCTCTTGCTCGATGGGTAGATTGATAAAAAAGTATATGCTTACTAATGTACCTAAAATGAATATTAAATAAAATATTATAAATGGATGATAAGAGATGTGTTGCTTTTTTTTCTCATTTTAGGTAATGATTGATTTTCAAGCAGCTGAAAGGCAGAAATTGGAAGAACCTGCTTCTGAGATTGGTCTAGAAGCTTTATGTGCAATGGTACGAAAATAATGCAACACTGTTACATAGGCCAAATTGTTATATATGCGTAATTGATACACTGCTAAAGAAATCATTATATGACAGATCAACAACAATCTTCGGTGCTATGATCTTGCCATGGAACTAAGTTCAAGCACACTTGAAGCCCTCCCTCCGAACTATGCAGAGCAGGTGAGTGAAACTTTTATCTTGTACCCTCTTTTAAATCAATTATAAATTGCATAAGCAATTTTAAGTTCTGACCTGTATTGACTTTGACAAGGCAAATCTTCTCACTAAATATGATGAGGATGTACTACATAGGCGTATTATAAACTTATCATACTAAAGAACTCTCAATTTTGAAACTTCCTCTTCTCTGTCTCTAATAAGTATAACGTTTACGAAATGAAGCATTGATTTAGCCATACGCATGCCTTGGATCTTTCTTGAACTGTTTTCAAACAATTTTGCAGGTTAACTTTGAGGACACTTGCAAAGGGTTTCTGGAGGTTGCAAAGGTATATTGGTGATCTTTTTTCCAAATTTAAGATTATGTCCTTATCAAATTTATGGTATATTGGTTAACTTCCTCGTTTGAATGTTGATTTGGTGTTTACGAGAATCTGCTATCTAGAGAACTAAAAATTGAGTTTGTTATAAAAGAATAGCTACTCACGGATTGATTGCTTTTATATTGGTTGAAGTTCCTTCAATGGATAGTAAGGCCAAATTAGGATGCTACGCTTAGTATTGTGCTATTGTACTTCATTTTAGTGGTGTGTTAATTAGCATGCCCAACTATAAGCATGTGTGCATAATAATGTACACACCGGCTTCATGCATATTTTTAAGAAGTTTTGTTGATCATTAAAAGTGATTATTCTCAAATATTATTTAGGAGACTGTCCATCAAACAGTTCGTGTCATTTTTGAAGATCCAGGAGTCCAGGAGTTACTTGTAAAGCTGTACCAGAAAGGTAATATATATTTGGCTATTCAGTACGGTTGTGGTTTTGGTATATGAATGTGTATACTGTATAAAGCTGGTACCTTCATAACACTGCTTGAGAAAACAACCAGTGTATCATAACCATTTCACTCACTCAAGCACATTCAAGTATTGTACCGTCATAATCATACTGTTAAGATCCTTCAATGAAAATATAGATAAAAGATGCTACAAGTCTTTTACTTTTAAGATTTAACTAAAGAAACATTAATCTTTTCACCAGAAGAATGCATTCTCACAAATATGTCGTAGAAAAGTTTAATTAGACTGCCTGTTGAGTTTTAATATCCTACATGACAACATAATTGAACTTTCCCCTGTTCTGTTAGAAAAGAAAGTTCTGTTTCAAAAGCTCTGCATACATGCTCCAAATATATTAGATATAGCCATATCGGTAAGATGTATGGTTGTTGATCCAGAACTATACAACAAATTTCTGTCTAGGCTTACTGAGGGAGAAAAGAAAATCAGCCAATTAGATGAATTGAAGATAATTAGCTTCGGTCATGATTTTTCATTGATTTTTTTATTATTTTTTTGGATATTGATTTTTTATTATTATTTTTTTTTTTTTGGATATCCCAGATTGGTTGGAAGGACAGGTAACTGAATACTTAGTTGCGACATTTGGTGACTACTTCACAGATGTCAAAATGTAAGTTATTGCACCCAAAGTGAACTTCTCATCTTTACTTGATGTTTAATCTCATTCATTCTCTCTGGCCATGTTCATACGTGTAAAGGTACATTGAAGAAAGGTCATTTCGGAGATTTGTTGAGGCCTGTCTGGAAGAAACTATTGTTGTCTATGTTGACCACCTCCTTGTCCAGGTTTATATGATGAAAATATTTTATTTGTTGAATACATTCTCCAACAATTTGAATCCATGATTAAATCTGGCCTTTATTCTGTTGCGTCTTTTACGTAGAAAAATTATATCAAGGAAGAGACTATTGAAAGGATGAAGCTAGATGAAGAGGTCCTCATGGACTTTTTCCGGGAATATATCAGTGTTTCTGTAAGCTCCATTGCAAACTTCGGCCCCACCTTGATTTAAGTACCACCTTTTGGCTTAAAAACTGTTCTGTGTTGCAGAAAGTTGAAAATCGAGTACGGGTACTCGGTGACTTGAGAGAACTTGCTTCGTCTGAAAGCCCAGATTCTTTCACGCTCGTGTACACAAATATTCTCGAACATCAACCAGATTGTCCTGTAAGTACATTCGAATTTGTTACTGATTCATTGTCCTGATGACAAGGATCTAATTGTGGAATACGATCGCTGTTCTTTATTTCAATTATTAACCGCTTTTTTCCCTTTTTTTTTTTTTTTTCTTTCTGCAGCCAGAAGTTGTTGAAAAAATTGTAGGCTTACGAGAAGGCATACCAAGAAAAGATGCTAAAGAGGTAAAATTTCACTTAAATTGGAATTGTAACCTATATTTGATTATTTTCTAGCTGAACTGAATTTTTACGAATTGCCTCTCTCTCGATTATCATTACAGCTTTATTTAGCATATAATAATAACATCCATTTACACTGGCTATTTTTGTCGAAATAGGTGGTTCAAGAGTGCAAAGAGATATATGAAAATTCTCTTGTTGATGGCAATCCTCCCAAGGCTGGTTTTGTTTTCCCTAAAGTGAAGTCCCTCACAGTCTCCAAAGGTCGCCTGTGGCGTAAACTCACTTAGTCTATGCCGATCATTATCATTATATGTCTATATGTATGAATGTATCTACAGTTACTTTTATATGTTCTTGCTCAAAATTCTAATTGTGGGAACTTTGTGAAATTGATCCTTTGTGACTCGATATTGTTTTTGTTGTGGCGTATTTATTGGTTTTATATATTTTGTTCGGCATTAGCAGAGCACTTGAGAATGTTGTACATATCTGTTGTTCGTATTTGCATTAGAAAATTTACGAGTTTTAGTTTTTATTATACTCTGCAGTGGTTAATTTTCTTATTATATTATCTCCCTTTTGCTTGCATGTAATTAACTTTAGGTCTCAAGTAGTGCTTGGATATAAATCTTGACTAAATTTTTTAATCACAACTCAAATTAAAATAATTAATATCAATCAATTATCACACATCATATCATCTATAAGTTACTATTCTCTCAAATCATTTTAACTACTTATTATGACTTTCATCATCTTTTTCTTACTTTATCTCTTACTTTAACCTCAAATCAACTTTAATCATTTTATGGTAAATATTATTTTAATATAAACTCAAAATCCACTCAAATCTAATCCAACTAATTTTTCAAAATAACATTGGTTAACAAAAAAATCAATCAAAGGCAAAATATCCAATCAAAAATTAATATCCAAGCACAACATCCTGATTTTGGTTTGCTGCTAAGAGAGAGAGAGAGAGAGAGTTGGTGCAAACAAAAATCACTCAAAATCAAGACAGAACACTTTCAGTTTCTCAAGAATTACAGACCTTGTAGGCTTATATACACAAGTTTCATCNAAAAAAGAAAGAAAGAAGAAAACACACATGTACTAAACGACTTTTAACCACAATGAAGACGATCTACCACTGGTCTCATAAAAGGCAGGACACCAATTATACGATGTCATGTTCTTTTATGCAGACCTCAAAGATCTGTATCCAGTGCCTGTACCAAGAAAACGGCATGTAAACGAACATCCATAATCAAGCTTCATCCTCAGTAAGCTGCAAATTGTATCCATGCTTCATATCTGCATCATTTTACTTTTAAGATTGAGATAATCACAGTAAGGCAAAGGATCATTTTACTTGATCCTGATGATGAATGCAGCATGTAAAGATACCATACTTTACATGCTCATACAAACGAAATTCGTTCAGAACAATTATGCAAAATTCGTGAATAAAATTATAGAGAGCAAGCAGAGAAGCCAGAAAACTAAATATTGACCATAGTCCTCACACAATCAGTACATATGAGCATAGGAGGGAGCACAAGGGGCAGAGGTAGAACAAATTAAGAACAATCAAAACAAATAACAAAGATTTTTCCTCATTAATTTAAGGATTGCAAAAGAAACCAAACCAAAAACCAGATCAAAATAAGATGAACTAAACGATCANGATCAAACAGTCACACAAGGTAATGAAAGTCGTATATAAGCCAAGTGATCTACCAAAAACCTCGGAACGAATGAAAGAAAATAATACAACACCAACTCAAATAATGCATCAAAAAATAAAAATAAAAAAAAAATAACGCAAAAGTCAATAAACGGTACCTCTCATCGAACCTTTCCCCCCTCTCTCTTTCCTCCCGAAACCATCGCCACCCGATGATTCACCTTTCTCCTCACCACCACCATCATCATCATCATCATTCCCCATATCACTCTCACTCGCAGTCTCCCACTCCGAATCATCACTCTCATGTCCACCACAGCCATCACCGGGCCCACCACCCTCACACAAAACCCCGCCATGCTTAGCTGCAGCCTCCCGAAACAGCCACGCGGCCCTCATCTGTTTCCTCACGAGCCTCTCCGCATAATCTGGGACTTTATTCTGCCTCAACGAAAGATCCGCGTCTGCCGACTGCGAAAACTCGTTCACAAACAAAATGGCATCCAAAAGGCTCTCCTTAGCCATCCCGAGCATGTCGTAAGCCTGGGCCCGCCTCCACAGGCTCCTCGCGTGACGGTTCACCGGACTGTGGAGGCAAAGCGCACGCGTGGCGTCACTTATGGCCGCCAGAGGCTGCTGAAGCAACAGGTGGCACTGGGCTCGATTGCTGTAAAGTACAACTCTTTCTTTCTTGGACCTGACTGGACAAAGGGAGAGTGCTTCCGAGTATTTCGAGGCGGCACCGGAAATGTCTCCGGCAGAGAAGAGAGAGTTTCCCTCGAGCTTCACTACTAAAGCGGCCGCGTGTTTTATGTGGAGATCCTCTTTAGGCATGTTTTTTTCCCATTTTAGCCTCTGGCGAAGGGATAGGAGCTCCTCGACTTCTGATTTGACTCGGCTGCTAATCGAGCCGCGGCCCGGCAGCCCGGGAGACTGTATGTATTCTTCAAGGGCGTTGATTATTGAGTCCCCGAGCTTTTTATGGTCCCCAAGTGTAGTTATGTCTGCAAGGTCGATGAGTACGGGTACCGCCTTTTCACTGACCTGTGTAAAAGAAAGGGTGGATCTTGATGAAAAAAAAAATCAAGAACATGGTTTTTTTTTTTTCAAAATCTTTTCAAATAAAGTTGTTATTTTTCTTTTACCTTATGGCAAGTGCTCGGGTCCTGAAGCAACCAAAGCAAACAATCGATCGCCATATACTGCCAATCGTCCGAAGACCGAGCTATATTACACAAAGCATCCACAACCCCTGCACAAGCCGCCACAGGCCCCCTCCCGAGCTTATGATGACAAATCGTCCTCAGCAGCCCAATCCCAGCTGGTGAATTCTCGTTCACCAGCCCGCCCCACAAGCCAGGCAGCCTCGTCAAAAACTCCGGCTTGCAAATATCCGGCAAGAACTCAGCTTTAAACGCGAAACAGTTAATCAGCTGCAATGACCAGCACTGAAGCTGGCTAGCCCACTCCTCAGCCTTCCTCGACTCCATCTCGACCCCACCCATTCCACGCGTGAGAAGATCACAGTGGTACCCGAGCCTCCGTCCAGGGTCCCGGTAAAAATGCGTGTACACGATTTCGAGCGAGCTGGCCGCCAGCTGGATGGCGAGCTCAAGGACTTCCGTGTGGGCAGCCACGGATTCGAAAGTGGTGGAGTAGGTGGCGAGGTGGCCGAGGGCTCGAACGGCCACTCGCTGCTCGACCCACGTGAGTCGACCGCGAAGAAGCTCGATTAACGGGGGGATAGCGCCAGCCTGGACGGCGGCCTCGGCAAAAGACTCGACGTTCATGGTGTATGAGCCGATTATGTGGGCTGCGTAGTAAGGGATGTAGACGTTTTGGTCGTGGGCCAGCCAGCGGCGGTTTCGGAGGCCTTTGCAGATGAGGGCCGACATGCAGTCGAATATTCCGAGGTCGATGAACTCGGGGTCGTTGGGGTGGGCCATGGCGGTGTTCCAGAGGCCGCTGATGGGGAGGACTTGGCCGTCGTCGTCTTGGGAAGGGAGGTCGCGGAAGAATTTGAGGAGGGAAGATCGCCGTTTTGTGGGGTTCGATTCTTTCATCACGCAGAAGAAGCAGCCAGGGTAAGGGCAGTCGGGGGAGGATTTGTCCATGAGGTTTTTTTTTTGATGAACTGGAAAGATATGGGGAAATTTGAGAT